TCCAAATCTTAGCTATTGTAAATTGTGCTGCTATGAACATAGGGGTGCATATATCCTTTCTGATTGGTGTTTCTAGTTTCCTGGGATATATTCCTGGAAGTGGAATCACTGGGTCAAATGGAAGTTCCATTTTTAGTTTTTTGAGGAAATTCCATACTATTCTCCACAGTGGCTGCACCTCTCTGATTCCCTTTACTGTCTTGGACCCACTCGTGTGGCTTTCCATTTCCTTGCCTTTCAGAATGTTGCAGAAGCCATTTCTCACCCAGCTGGTCAGTTCTGCAGTAGTAAGAGTATTAACCATGTCTCTTATTTTGTATTTTTTAAAATATATTTTTATTGATTTCAAAAAGGAAGGAAGAGGGAGAGAGAGATAGAAACATCAGTGATGAGAGAGAATCATTGACCAGCTGCCTCCTACATGCCCCACACTGGGGATCCAGCCTGCAACCCTGGCATGTTCCCTTGACTGGAATCGAACCTGGTATCCTTCAGTCTGCAGGCTGATGCTCTATTTACTGAGCCATATTGACTAGGGCTCTTATTTTGTTTTGTTTTGTTTTAATATATTTTTATTGATTTCAAAAAGGAAGGAAGAGGGAGAGAGAGATAGAAACATCAGTGATGAGAGAGAATCATTGACCAGCTGCCTCCTACATGCCCCACACTGGGGATCCAGCCTGCAACCCAGGCATGTGCCCTGACTGGGAATCGAACCTTGACCGCTTGGATCACAGATAGATGCTCAACCACTGAGCCATGCCGCTGGCCGGGCTTATTTTGTACTTTTGATGCTTTGACACCTTGAGCCTTGTTGACTCTGGAGGGATTGCCCTTCCTAGAGCTGGCAAATTCTAGCAAATGACTGACCTGTGAATCCAGAGCCCGTACCCTCAACCACTTCTTCTCTAGGCTCTCATATGCAAGGACAGGCACTAGACAGCTAGGGTCAGGCCCTGTGTCCCAGAGCTCACTGCAATTACTCTCACTTGCCACCTCCAAGCTTGTGAAAACCATGATAGAGGCTCTTGTCCACATTTCTCCCTTGTTCCCTCTGCCTCCTGATGACCTTGGCCCTGTGTGGCCCCTCATAGTGTCCCGCACCTACTGTTTCCAGGGATCTGTGAGGATAATATGCTTCCTCATGACAGTCACTTCCATGATGGTGTGTCTTACAAACCTGGGTAAACAAATCCCAGCTACTCTTCAAACACTTCTGGAAACCCAGTCTAGAGCCCCTGTCCTCAACATCCTTCAGATAATTGGGTAAGCACCTAATTTCCTCTACTGTCTTGCTTCTGGTCTAGAAACCACTAGGGTTTTTGTTGCCTGCAGTTATCCTTGATGGTAAGCTACTTTCCCCATTTGTGACCTATTTTGGCCAGCCTCCAATCAAAGCTGTTGCCTAAAAGAGTGTTTGAAATTCCTTGAAGCCTGGATCACTTCCCTGCAGTGACCTGGGCTTCAGGTTAAGTTGCGGTCCCTGGAGAAGAGGAATGCAAGACTTCTGAGAAGCTGAGCTGAGTGTTCTGGGAAAGCCCAAATGGATGGTGGGATCTTGTTCTGTTCATTTTCAGATTGCAAAAAATATTCCAGTCCCGTCTCAACTCGAACTTTCTTTTGTCTTCTTTTTCATCTCATATCTCATTTGAAGCAGTGGCCCTTCCCCCAGCTCAGGTGGGACAGATGGTGTGTGCCCTTAAGCTCATCTCTTTCCACCCCTCTCCCCCATAGGCCTTGCTGTGCCTGGCTCCTCCGGAGTCTGGGGGGAAGCATGGGCAGAGGGAGAGTTGTGACAACAGGGAAGTCCAGTTGAGCTCCTGTTGGAATGAGTACCTGGGCCCTGAGACCTGCTATGTGGTAGATGCTCGGAGGTTGGCCCTTATGCTAATTTCCTAGGATGGTCCTAACAAAGTACCACAAGCTAGGTGACTTACGCCAACAGAAATTTATCCTCTCACAATTCTAGAAGCAAGAAGTTCAGAATCGAGGTTTTGGCAGAACCATGTTCCCTCTGAAGTCTCTAGGGGTGAATCCCACCTTGCTTCTTCCAGCTTCTGGGGGCTCCAAGCATTCCTTGGTTTGTGGCAGCATCCCTCCAGTCTCTGTGTCTGTCTTCACATGGCCTTTTCCTCTGTTTCTGTCGTGGGAGGGCGCTCAACCAACAGCCACACCAGCCAGGGCAAATTTCCCTATTCTTATAAGGACACCACTCACAGTACACAGGACTGCAGCATGACCTCATCTTAACTATTTACTACATTAAGAACACCCCCGTTCCCAAATATGATCACATTTACAGGGGCTGGGGGTTTGAGGACACAATTCACCCATAAGAGCCCTCTTTCTCTTCTCTCTTTTATGGGGCGCTTTGTGGCTCTTCAGAGATATCCTCCTCCTCTCATCCCCATCGTTGCCATCCCCAGGGACCTCCTGGTATGGGAGATACATGCTCTGTCTGACCTCTCACAGGTCCTTCTCTTCTCTTCATCTCCTGCCCAAGAGTTGACCCTGGAAGTCCCTTGCCTGACAAGCAGCCCTGTTGGGCAGGGGTTTTCCAGGATGGCTCTAGTCTGGTTCCTTCCTTGGCTTTCCTTGGTGCAGAAGAAAATTCACATACCCATGGCCTGGGCAACCACTGGGGATGCAGGCTGCTCCCCTTGAGGCCCTCCCTCCTCATTGTCACCCAGACGGCCCCAGAAAAGGGGGTGCCATTGCCCTGTGACCTCCATACTCAGGAGGGACCACAGCCCTGTCAACACCTTAGACTTTTTGCCTCCAGAAATGTACAAGAATAAATTTCTGTTATTTTAAGCCACCACGTTTGTGGCAATTTGTTAGGTAGCCCTGGGAAACTCATACAGCAGAAATTCAGTAAACATTTGCCAAATAAATGAATGAATGAATGCCTCATCCGCTGCAGCAATATATGCTCCTCTCTGTGGGATCCTGGAGAGCCCGTTGCATCTAGAGGTTACCCCCAATGGAGGTGGAGGTGTCAGGACCACTGAGTTTAGGTCCCAGCTTTGCTGCTATCTGTCACTTCCTGCTCCTGGCCTCAGTCTCCTCCGTTGGAAGAGAAGGTCTCCAGGGTCCTTAGGGCCTCTGTGACCCAACAAGAGCACTGAAGTGACAAGAAGACTCTCCCAGCAGCTCTCCAGGCAGCCCTGCACCCCCTGACCTGAGGCCTCAGCTGGCAGAGGGACCCGGGACTTCCTCCGAAGGAGGGCACAGGCTGTGTGTGCCCAGCAGTGGCAGCTGCTGTGTGTCTGCGTCTGCCCACCCTCGGGGCCTTGTGGTTACCTTAGTAATCCCCTCTCTCCCAGGGCTCCCTGCAGCAGATGGGACCAGCTGGTCCAGGGCTGGGTGAATCGTCCCCTGGCTGGGAAACCAACCTTGTGTGTCTCCTAGGACATTATTTCTAGGTTAGGGTTGGGGACAAGAAGCTTAGGGAAGTCACCTCAGTGCCAAAGGCTTGCTCCCCATTGAGTGGATGCAGAGAAGACCCTAGATGCTGCCATATCTCCTAAGAAGTCTGGCTGTTTCCAAAACACAGAGAGGGGAGGTTATTTTTGGAAACTTGTAAAGATCTACAGAAATTACAAACTTCGTATTCTCCTGAGAATACTGTCAGATGGCCAAGTCTCAGCTAATTTCAGCAGGTGTGCGTGTGTTTTCAGAGAATTCAGAGCCACAAATATTTGAATTGTAGTTCAGCTGACCCCAATCCTCTGGCCTTTCCAGTGACTGATTCTTCTTGGCGTGAGTATTGTCCTTGGCAGCTGGGGGGAGCCAAGAGGTCAGCGGGGTAGGTCCTAGGACATGTGAGCGCTGGGATGACCTGGGTGGGTCTGGGACACTCCTAGATCTCTGTGCCTCAGCTGAGTCATTTGGGGAACTGAGCTCACAGCATCCCCTGTGCCTGCCTCAGGAGGCATCTGGACAGCAGGGCTTTTGGTCAAGACTTCCTACGAAAGGGCCTGGGGCACCAGAAAAATGGATGGGAAAACTGGAGGAGGAGGCTTGGTGTGAGGTGAAGGGTTAACCTTGCCCAAAGAAAGGTATGGGCTTTGCCTCCAGTCCTGGGAGGTAACCTTAAGTCTTTGGAATGTTCTGCCTGATAAGTGGTGTTTTCACCTGGGGTGGTCTGGGGCTACACCAGATGGTCTACCCTAACAATGTGATCTATGGTGGGGGCCTTGACCCAAGCAGCCTCAACTTACCCTCTAGAGGGGCTGAATACTGAAGTCAGACATGTGGGTGTCTACATGGCAGACCCCATAAAACTCTGACATCAAGGCTTGGAGGATGCCTTCAGTTGGCAATACTGCGTGTGTTGTCTCACATGGTCTGGGAGAAGTGAGCGCTGTCCACAAGTCCACTGGGAGGGGACAGCAGAAAGCTGATACCTGGAACTCCCCTGGCCCCTTTCCCTCTGCCCTTTTCTTGTTGCTGATTACAATCTGAGCTTTTGCAGGAATAAACCACAACTGGGAGTATGACAGCTTTGCTGGATTCTGCAAGTCCTTCTAATGAATTATTGAACCTAAGTAAGACGGTCTTGGGGCCCCGCTGAACTGACATTTGGCAAATGGGCAACATGAAGGAGGGCTCAGTGGCAGAGGATGAAAGAGCAGGTCCCAGGAAAGTGGGTGGGCCCTACCCCTGGTTCCCACTGGGCACTCACTGCTGCTCCTTCTGCCCCAGGCCCTTGTTCCTGCCACCAACACAGAGAAGTGTCCCTAAGGCCCCTGCATCTTTGCATCACTCCCTTCAGACTTGGAATCCTGGTAGGGAGCATCTGATTGGCCGAGTCTGGATCACATGCTTGCTCCCTGGT